GTAATTTAAAAGATTTTAACATGTTGAGAAAGATCCCTAACAAGGTGTGAATTAATATACATAAATATGGAAAAGCAGATGGAGATAAAGGTATCAAAAATGTGTAAGGACATTAGGGAAAAGCAGATGGAAATTTACGTAAAGTATGGAGTTTAGGTAATAATAGTGTATCAATATTGGTTCATTGTGACAATTGTGTATCAATATTGGTAAAGTTATGACGAATGTACTGTAGAAATGTAAGATATTAACAATAGGGAAAACTAGGTGCAGGGTATACAGGAACTGTCTATACTATCTGCAAGTGTTCTGTAAATCTAAAGCTATTCTAAGAAGAAGAGTGAGGTTAAATAGAAAGTGGCCTAAGGTTTGATGTCCAAATAAGTTAGAAAATAATATGCCCATAACAAAAATAGGGAATTTGGTGGGGGAGGTAGTTTTGTGGAATTTTGGAAGGATTGGAATGCTCCACAGTCTGGAATTCTTTGGAGAGAATGATAGAATAGAATGGCAGAGAGCATTTCAAAAGAACATGGTGAATAGACAATCTGAATAGGCCAATATATATTAAGGAAATGGAATAAATAATAACCTTCCAAAACAGAAAGCATCAGGCCCAGATAGTCACTGGTAAATTCTATCAAATATTTAAAGAAGAAATTATGACACTTTCCTATAATCTCCTTCAGAAGATAGAAGCAGAGGGTATACTTCCTAACTCATTCTATGAAGCCAGCATTACTCTTATACCAAAAATAAGACAAAGACATTACAAGAAAAGAAAATTATAGACCAGTATCTCTCATAAGTAATAGATGCAAAACATCTCAATGAAATATTAGCAAGTTGAATCCAACAATCTATGACATTACTCTTATACCAAAAATAAGACAAAGACATTACAAGAAAAGAAAATTATAGACCAGTATCTCTTATAAGTAATAGATGCAAAACATCTCAATGAAATATTAGCAAGTTGAATCCAACAATCTATGAAAAGGATTATACACCATGACAAAGTGGGATTTATCCCTGGTATGCAAGGCTGATTCAACATTCGAAAATCAGTTAATGTAATCCATCACATTAACATGCCAAAGAAGAAAAATCACATGATCATATCAATAAACGCAGAAAAAATCATTTTACAAAATCCAATAACCATTTTTGATTTTAAAAGAAAAACTCTCAGCAAACTATGAATAGAGGGGCACTTCTTCAACTTGATAAAGAACATCTACAAAAAACCTGCTGGTGAGAAACTTGCTTTTCTACCATTAGGAAAATAAGATCAGGAACAAGACAAGGATGTCCTCTCTCACCACCACTTTTCAACATCAAACTATAAGTTCTAGTTAATGCAATAAGACATGAAAAGGACACTAAAAGTATACAGAATGGGAGGGAAGAAATAAAACTGTCCTTGTTTGAAGATGACATGCTTATCTTTGTAGAAAGAATCAACAAAAAACTTAAGTGATTAGAGTCAGGTCATAGGATATAAGGTTCATATACAAAATTCAGTCACTTTCCTATGTATATCAGCAATGAACAAGTAAAATTTGAAATTGAAAACGTTACTATTTACGTTAGCACACCCAAAATTGAAATACTTATGTAAAAATCTAATGAAATATATACAAGATCTATATGAGAAAAACTACAAAACTCTGAAAGATATCAAAGAATAACTAAATAAATGAAGAGATACTCCACGTTTATGGATAGAGACTCAATATTGTCAAGATGTCATTTTTTCCTAACTTGATCTATAGATTTAATGCAATCCCAATCAAAATCCCAGCAAGTTATTTTGTGGATATCAACAAACTTAGTTTATATGGAGAGAAAAGACCCAGATCAGTATTGAAAGAGAGGAACTAAGTTGGAGGACTGACACCATTCGACTTCAAGACTTACTTTAAAGCTACAGTAATCAAGACAGTGTGGTATTAACAAAAGAATAGACAAATAGATCAATGGAACAAAATGGGGAGCCCAGAAATAGACCCACATAAATATAGTCAACTGATCTTTGACAAAGGAGCAAAGGCAATGCAGTCACCCCTCAGTATCCTGGGGGATTGGTTCCAGTAATCCCCACAGATACCAAAATCTGTAGATGCTCAAATTCTTTATAGTTGGCCATTCATGTCTGTGGGTTTTACAACTGCAGATTCAACCAACCACAGGTTGTTGGTCTAATTACAAAATATGTAATTCAGGGTGGATTGAATCCACAGATGCAGAGTCTGGGAATATGGCGGTCAATTGTGCAATGGAGCAAAGATAGTCTTTTCAAGAAACGCTTCTGTAACAACTGGACATTCACATGCATAAAAGACTGAATCTAGACATAGACCTTACACCCTTCACAAAAGTTAACTCAAAGTGGATCATAGACCTAAGTGTAAAATACAAAACTATAAAACTCCTAGAAGAGAACATAGGAGAACACCTAGATGACTTTGGGTATGGCAGTGACTTTATAGATACACCACCAAAGGCACAAACCATAAAAGAAATAAGTGATAAATTGGACTTCATTAATATTAAAAAATCTGAAAGACAATATCAAGAGAATGAGAAGACAAGCCACAGACTAGGAAAAAATATTTGCAAAAGGCACATCTGATAAAGGACTGTTACATGCAATATACAAAGAACACTTTAAATTCAACCGTAAGACAACAAACAACACAATTAAAAAATGGACTAAAGACCTGAACAGACACCCCCCAAAAGAAGATATACAGATGTTTTGTAAGCATATGAAAAGGTATTAAACATCATATGTCATTAGCGAATTGTAAATTAAAACAATAAGATACTACTATACATCTATTAGAATGGGCAAAATCCAAAACACTGACAACACCAAATGCTGACAAGAATGTGGAGTAACTGGAGCTCTTATTCTTTGCAGGTTTGAATGTAAAGTGATACAGCCATTTTGAAAGACAATTTGCCAGTTTCTTGCAAAAGTAAACATACTCTTACCATAGGATCCAGTAATCACCCTCCTTGGTACTTACCCAAAGAAGTTGAAAACAAAAACCTGCACATGAATGTTTTTAGTAGCTTTATTCGTAATTGCCAGAACTTAGAAGTAAGCAAGATGTCCTTCAGTAGGTGAATGGATAAACAAACTGTGGTACATTCAGACCATGCAATGTTATTCAGTGCTAAAAATGAGCTATCAAGCCATGAAAAGACATAAAGGAACCTTCAATGTATATTACTAAGTGAAAGAAGCCAAAGTGAAAAGTCTACATACTATATGATCCCAACTCTATGACATTCTGGAAAAGGCCAAATTATGGAGACAGTAAAAGGATCAGTAATTACCAACAGTTAGCGGCAAAGGAGAGATGAATAGGCAAAGCACAGATGATTTTTAGGGCAGTGAAACTCCTCTGTATGATATTATAATAGTAGATAAATGTCATTATACATTTTTCAAAGCCCATAGAAGAACCAACTATGAAGCCTAATGTAAATTACGGACTTTGGATGATAACGACATGTCAATGTAGGTTCATCAATTGTAACACATGTACCACTCTGGTCCAGGATGTTGATAATGGGGGAGGTTGTGTGTCTGTGAGAATTCTCTGTACTTTCTGCTCATTTTTACTGTGAACCTAGAAGTGCTCTAAATATAGTTTTTTAATTAAAACAAAAGGACACAGTAAGGCCTGAGGTGACAATGGCAATTTTCACAAAGGAGCTCAATAGGTTTTTTCTAGTAATCTGCTTCTCTTAAACGTGCTATATCTGGAAAGATTTATGGTGGGTGTAGCGAATATGTAAAATTCAATCTGATTTTAGAGTTTGTGAGTAGTAGTACATCCTAGTTAGTTAAGTTCTCAGATCATTTTTAGTAGGTTGATTTAGTCACCCCTCTTGATTCTACTGTAGCAGATTCTTTTGATTATATAGAAACTGAAAATTAAGAGATCAAAAAAGGCAAAACAGAAAAGTGGCTGTTTTATTGGTTGTCCATGGGTGATGTGAATATGTCATCTTTCGCATCCAGGTGTGGTCTTACTGTTCCAAATTAAGAAAATTGTTCACTTTTGTGCTTGGAAGTAATGCTTATTCAGAGAAATAATTAAGATGAATAACATCCAAAATTATATTTTTCATCTTAGTTATTATGACAATGCAAATAAAAAATACCTACACTTGAAATATTTAAGTAAATGGACATAAAATACTCTGAAGACTTGCACAGACAGAAAACTCTGAATGTAAAAAATAACATAGCCTCAATTTTTAGAATAAATAAGCAAATTGCTGAAAAAATATTGCACCCAATTTATAGTCAAATAATTATTTATGTAAATTTTGAATTTGCAGTGGAAAAAGGTAAATAATCCATGGAATGCACTATTCTAGTAATTCAGTGTTTCCAGGAAGAATTGAGGGAGATGGGGAATTTTCTGAAAAAGCATACTCTAAATTACCTTTGACTTTGTTTTTATTCATGATATTTATTTTTGTTTTCAATGACATTAAAGGAAGTCACAAAATTTTTATTTTTATTGTTTAAGGAGGGAGTGAGTTTTAAAAGGTTGATTTTAAATAATGTTTTTAAAATTTTAAATCTGTTGATAGAATATGTCTTCCAATTTAAGACTTATGATTAGACACCAAAGTCATGAGAGATTCTTCATGACTTTGATGTTGATGATGGTGATGATAGTGGCAGGTAACATTTATTGAAACTCCCTGTGTGCCAGGCACTGTTGTAAGCACATTACTTGTTTTAGCTCATTTTACCCTCACAACATACATATGCATAAAGTAGTTTTAATATCCCCAGTTATAGGTGAAACACCTCTTGTTAATGTCAAGTATTTATTATTAGGGCCCTTGCATCTATATGAATACTTTTGTTAAATATTAATGAATTCTTTAGAGTTCTTTTAGGTATTATATTTCGGTGGTATTTGATTAAAAATTTACTTGATAACCACTGTTTTTATCCTTTTCAGGTATGCAGTTCTGTGTGGCTATGTATCTGAGTTTGAGGGCTTACAAAATAAAATCAGCTATGGACATTGCTTCAAGGTATTTCTTGATATTAAAAATGATTTAATTTTATTCAACTTACTGTTATACTGTAAGTTGAATACAAGAGTACTTCAGAAAGTTCATGGAAAAATTGAATTAAAAGATAATACGAATCCTTCCATGAACTTTTTGGAGACCCTGAGTATGTTTCATTAACAGGTATAAATCTGGTTATTTAGCAAATTAAGTTCTAGGAATTTATTTTTTGTTTAAAGAGTAGGAAATGAAATGGCACTCTGACAAAAAGAATCAACTGTTTGGGTAATTCAAGATTATTATCATTCCAGATCTTGAAAGATGTCACAAAGTAGATAAGTATTATTTTTTCAGATAGAGGATTAGCCTTTGGGTTATGAGCTCGCCAACATCTTAAGTATGATTAAGATGAATCAGTCAACAATCTGCATATTGACTTGGTGGGGGAGTAGGATCTAGTCTAGGGCTTAAATTTACCACAATAGATAAAACAAGTAATCCACATACACATTATTTATTATCTGCCTCTAATTATAATAGCTCAATAAATAACCCCTGCAGGACAGAGATTACAGTGATGAGCAAATAGTTTTTCAGCTCCCATAACCATTTTGACCATGACAAGGGAACAGATTCTTCTCATCTAGCTCTGCTATTTTTTCTGGCATTATACCCTACTCCATGTCATTTGCTATCTATAAGCTCAACTCTGAATCAGTAAGTATTAGCGAGGCAAGTCATGGCCAGGCAAATATTCGAGTTGGGTGTTTTCTATTTTAATAGCAACATTTTGGCATTAAATTATACATAGCCTTATTAAATCATAGTCACAGTTCTGATTCTGGTTGTAAGCAATCATTGTTGGTAACTGAATTATTGATAATATTTAGTTACTTTAATGATAGGGATTGAGGGGGGCTGAGATAACATTGTAAAACTGCTTAAGGCTTTGCCACAGTTCCATTCAACAATATCTGAAACGCAGGAGATGACTTTACCTTTGGATGTTTCTTTCAGGAACATCTAGATATAGCAATCCAACTTTTACCTGAAGAACCCTATTTGTATTACCTCAATGGAAGATACTGTTATACTGTAAGTTGAATGCCTTTATTTGTAAATCTTATTTGAACGTACTGTGATATACATAATACATTTTCAGTGACTTATTTATTCTTTTGTTTTTACCGAGTGCCTGCTGTAGGGAGAATTATAAACTCAGTTTAAATTTTATAGTCTCCAGAGTTTTGTTTGTTATTGATTTCTAATTTTAATCCATTATGATCTGAAAAAATACATGTAATAATTCCAGTTTTTTAAAATTTGTTGAGACTTGCTTTGTGACCTAACATGTGGTCTATCCTGGAGAATGTTCCATGTGCTGATGAGATGAATGAATATTCTGAGGTTGTTGGATGGAATGTTCTGTAGATATCTGCCAAGTCAGTTGGTCTAAAGTGTTGTTTAGATCTTGTATTTCTCTTTTGAGATTTTGCCTATATGATCTGTCCAATGTTGAGAGTGGGGTGTTCAGGTCCTGTATGTCTTATAATTTTATATGAATTTACATTTATAATTCATATAATTTATTATTTTATAACATAATTTATAATTTCAATATTTATAGCATATATACTTTAAATTTTATGAACTTATAATTTATATATTTTATATATTATATGCAATTATTTTTTCTTTCCTGCCTTTCCATTTCCCCTTGTAGTAGCCACACTGTCTCCCTTGTCTCTCTCAGGTTGGGATCAGTCACCCACACACATACACTCTGTATAGGTACATTACTCATGGTTATATGGGAGGACAACTTTTCATCCAGCAGTGTTCATTGAGCATATATTCTCTGCTTACTAACTGACCAGAAGATGAATAGAACACTATTCTTATCTTCAAGAAATTTAATTTAGAAGGGATATGAGGCATATATAAGTAGCTCAGAAAGGCAGCTTGTCCTCCTAAGACCCAATGTCTTAAATGATACTATTAGTTTACAGAAGATTAACAGAATGTGAAAATATATCTTAAAAGATGCATGAAAACACTACCATAAAAGGGGAATGCTATTTGTAAATGAGAAAATTAGGGTAGACAAAAGAGAAAACTTTTTTATTGAGGCTGAAAGAGGATTAGAGGTGAAGAAGGAAGTTTGCTTGTATTGAACACCAGCTATTTGTCAAATGTGCATTTTATTCTTTATATTTCTTGTTGCATTTAAAGCCTGGCGACCTTGACCTTTGTTGCAGGTAGGAACTGTGGACTTGAGCAGAGCAGGAAGCAGCTTGAAGACTACCACAATATATCTAGGACTCAAAAAGTGCTACGTCTAGGGGGGAAAAAAGTGAACTTAAATGAAACTGACTCAGCAGAAGCGTATAGCAATGAAAATTCATTCTCAGCCTTGACCGTGGGCAAGACTGAAGTGAAGGGAGGAAACTCTCCTAAGATTCAGAAGTCATTGGCTAAACTTCACATGAGTTTGGGGCTTAAATGTTCATTATTTGTTTAGGTTTTAACTTTTGAGGATGATGAAAATGTACTGTTTATTGATTGCTTTGATGGTTCTAAGATTGTATGCGTTTATCAAAACTAATTGAACTGTATACCTCGAAGGGATGAAATTTTATGTAGATTATACCTAAGTAAGCTGATTTTAAAGGCACAAATGACCAAGAAACATAGAAGGTAAACATATGGAAAAATCATATATGTATATGACCAATACATACACACAAATACACGCACACACAAACATATATCTTTTAAGGCTAAAGTATCTCTAGAAATGAAGAGGATTACTATATAATAATAAAAAGTTTAATTCACCAGAAAAGTATTTCTAAACTAGTTTGTTCCTAATAACAGCCTCAAAACTATAAAATAAAAATTGACCAAATTATAAGGATAACTGTGCATACCCACTCCCTGCTGGTAAATTTTTACCTACCTCTTTTGGCAATTAATAGAACAAGAAGACAAAAAAAAAAGCACTAGTAAATATGTGAAACATTGGACCCTCACATTTAATAAGGTTGACCTAATAAACAAATATGAAAATGTGCACCTAACCACTGGAGGATATGCATTTTTCAAGCATATGCAGAATGTTTACTAAAAGTAACCATATATGAGGCCATGAAGCAAGTCTTAATAAATTTCAAAGAATTGATATTATACAGGTTGAGTATTATCTTTTAAGTTTGATTACTTGCCTGCCATATGAGCCACAGTGGTGTCTACCCTACAAAAGCTCCTACAAATGTGCTTCAGAAGGCATGTAAAAGAATGCCTGTAGCAGGCTCGTTCCTAAGAGCAAAAAATGGAAAAGACCCAAATGTCCATCGACAAAAGAGCAGAAGAAAATATTGCTGATGTATGTTTAAATGATGGAGTATTTCAGTTATTTAAATGACTGAAGGGTTATACACACCAACCTGGATGAAATCTTTAAACCATAATGTTAATTGAAAAAAAACAAGTCATAGAAGGAAATAAACAGTATGATATCATTTTTTACAAAGTTTGAAACAAAGCTAAAATAAGCATATCAATATGCAAAATTATCTAGAAAAGCAAGGAAATAATTTTTTTTAAATGGAGGATAATGGCTACCTAGAAATCTGGAAGATGGGATTGAGAAGGAAGACTTGATTGGGTTGGGAGGAGCATCAACTGTATCGATACAGTTAAGTATTTATTTCTGAATGAGTTTAGTCTTTTATCATAAACATCTAATGTTCTTATTTGGAAAAAATGAAAAAGAAGGCAAAAAATAATCAATAATATGAAATTTAGTTTTGGTGGTTTTTAGTTAAAAAAAACAATCTCCTGAATTGTAAATATGTGTACTGAGCCCTTCCTCTGTACTCCCTCTGGTTTGAAGACGCTTGTTCTGTTTGACATTTCTGAGATGCTGCCTCTGGGTCAGGAGGCCGGCTGGCAGCATTGAGTAAGCAAGAAGAGATCAAAGGCAGGGTCTTGTAGCTATTACATGCTGTGCAGAAAAATACTCTGTGTTCCTCTCAGAGTCACACATGAGATGAACAAGGAGAAGCCGCATTATTCCTCACCCCACCCCTTTTTCTGTGGTTGAACGCAAATCTTATCAGTATTTCAAATTGGTTTTGAAGCCAGCGCTTCTGTGACATAGTTTGTTAGAATTATGAAAAAGGAAGGCAAAATGTTAATATTAATACCATAAGGGTTATGTCTGTCAGATATATTATTTATGGATATGTATTTATATTTATATATGTTATATTTATATGCACAAACATACATGTGCATCTAACTGGGGAGAACACTCTTCCTAAGAGTGATGCTACTCTGTGTTTGCAGGTCTCAAAACTGAGCTGGATTGAGAAAAAAATGGCTGCTACTCTGTTTGGAAAAATACCCTCTTCAACTGTGCAAGAAGCTTTGTACAATTTTCTTAAGGTATATTTTGTCTATCTGTTATTTTATTGTCAATCTGGCTACCATCTGTACTGATCCCTGCCCTTACTGTCAAGGAAATCTTTCTCTTCTCCCAGTGTAGGTCTCTAACAGCTCAGGCCTAGTTTTGGCATGTTCTGTTTTAACCCTCTCATAATGTAAGTTATGTTCTGAATCTAAACTTCTTAGAGCAGCTAGTTATGCTCTAGGTCCTAGGGATAACAAGCTACTTTTAAAAAATAACTCAGCAGCCTAAACGAAGGTTTACGTACAGCAGCCCTTACCAAATCCAGGAGCAGCTCTCCAAGTCATGTGAGCATAAACAGAAACAGTCATGCCCTGATTATTAGACTTGGTGCCAATACTCTTGATGAGCTTAATATTGAACCAGTTTAATCTTAAAAAATTAAAAGATGCCAAAAGGAAGAGTTACTCTAAAAGCCATCTCCTAAGTTGCAGACATTTCTGTGGAAGATTCCTTGGGCATCAGACCAACTCAGTATTTTTGTCCCTGTCTTCAAATGTATATTTGCTATGGTAATACAACTCTGACTGGTAATATGTATGTGTGCAGACATGTAAATGTGTAATATATCCACCTATATTAATCCAACTTCCTGTTGGACTAATTCCATCACTCTTCTTTGGAACCAATAATAAAATCTTATAGTTACTAAATGTTTTTTCTTTCCCCACCTCCTATTTCAGGTTTATAAAAATATAGACAAAATCAGGCTCTGAACTGTATCATCCACAATCCTGTACATTCTAATATTTGTGTTGTATTTTAGGGATGAATTTATGGAGCTGAAATGGAATTTAGAGATTATATAGTCAAAGTTGGCAAATAGGTTTTCTCTTACTTTTCATTTCTGACCAATGGCCAGTGGCTGCCTAGAGTGCTTTGTGAAAGAAAATAAGTCTTCTGAGATCAAGCACAAGCTCATCAGAAAAGATCGCAGGAAGTAAAAGCCATATAAGAAATGTATGCGGGCCGGCCCGGTGGCGCACTGGATAGTGCGCCGCTTGGGAAGCGCAGCGGCGCTCCCGTCCGAGGGTTCGGATCCCACATACAGACCGGCTCCCGCTCACTGGCTGAGCGAGGCGCGGGAGCAACACCGAGGCTTGCGATCCCGTTGCCGGTCCCCGGTCCGGTATGGGGGCAACACTGAGGGTTGCGATCCGTTGCCGGACACGGAAAAAAGAAAAAAGACAAAAAAAAAAAAAAAAAAGGGAATCAAAACCCCAAAAACTTTATTTGTCCTGTTTCAAATAATGGCAATCAAAGACTTGATTTAAGATATGAATGAAGTCTAAGCCTCCCTCCTCCCCATTTCTTCATCTTTTTTCTACCACTGA